GCACCCTCCTCAGGCTGCACCGAGCCGATCCCGGCTCCCTGCCAAGGCCTGGCTGGAGGCCACCAGTTATCCCAGTGCCGACCAGCAGAGGGGAATGACGGTCCTCAGGAGCCTCCCTCTTCCTCCTCCTCCTCTTCCCATGCGCTCCCCTCCGGGGCTGCTCTCCGCCGGCCCCGCCGGGGTGAAGGTGACACCCCTGTCCCTGTGCTGCCTGTCACAGCCCCCTGGCACCTGCCTGGGGGGCTCAGGTGCCCCTCAGTCAGTGTCATCCCTCTGCTCAGAGCTCCGTGTCTGGGCTGGAGCTGATGGATCCTCCTCAGAGTTCCCTGCCAAGCCTGGAACTGATAGATCCTGCTCAGAACTCCATGTCTGGGCTGGAGATGGGGCTTGGGGCTGATGGATCCTGCTCAGAACTCCATGTCTGGGCTGGAGATGGGGCTGGGGCTGATGGATCCTGCTCAGAGCTCCGTATCCAGGCTGGAGCTGGGGCTGGGGCTGGAGCTGGGGCTGGAGCTGATGGATTCTGCTCAGAGCTCCATATCCAGGCTCTAGCTGGGAGTGGAGCTGAGGATGGGGCTGGAGCTGGGACTGGAGCTGAGGCTGGGGCTGGAGCTGGGACTGGAGCTGAGGATGGGGCTGGAGCTGGGACTGGAGCTGAGGCTGGGGCTGGAGCTGTTGGATTCAGCCCTGATTCAGCAGAAGCCGGTCGAGGCAGGCCTGATTCAGCACTGTTTAATCGCTGTTATCTGGGAGCGCAGCGCTGGAGTCAGCAGCGGGACGGAGGGTGCAGCAGCCCAGGGGCACGGCAGTGATGCTCGCGGGGCTGGGCACAGCTGCCCTGGCCTTTATCAGCACTGGAAAGTTTTATTGCTGCAATTACACTGCTGTTACTTGCACCGAGAGCAGTTCTGGGGAATGCGAGCAGCTCCCGGCACAGGAGGGCACCTTCACCCATTCCCCGCCGGGTGCTCCTCCCTCCTGCCCAGCCTGGGCCGGCTCAGAATCCAGGGCACAGCGGGTGCCTTAACAAGGACACGTCCTTAGAGGTGACCCCAGGTGGGTTTCCACCCCCACCGTGTGCATGGGGACCTGAGCCCAGCTGCGACCTCCCCTTGGCTGCATCTCAAACCCCCCCTTGGCTCTTCCCCCACCGCGGTCGGGTTTCCCGGTGATCTGGTGAGGTGGAAATAGATCCTTGTGCCAGGGTCATTGGGAGTGGAAGGAAAACTCCACTGATCGCTCCTCGTGTCACTGAGAGGGAAATCAACATTTACTGGGCTGGAAGGTTTATCCTGCAGAGTTCAGTGGCTGCAGGAATCCAGCAGCATTCTGGAGGTGGGGAGTGATTGGGAACAGTCTGTTCTGGACATCTGCAGGTGTATCCAGCACTTCTGCTGCTGAGAGGTCAGGCTTTACACCCCACTAATGACTGCATGGAAAATCCAACAGGAGCAAGGTGGGGTGATCCTCCCCACAGGCACTGAATTTACAGGGATCAGCTGAGGGGCAGGAGGACAGTGAGCTGAGCACACAGCCCCTGTCAGGCTTGGTATGACTGCTGTGAGCAGAAAAAATATCCCAAATAATCAACTTTAAAAAAAAAAAAAAAGGCTTTGTCACGGCCATGGATTGTGGCATCAGGATCATCCAGGAGAAGTCCTGGGAGGGTGAAGCACAGGTATGGAACACTCTGCTCATCATGATGGACTAGTGCACTGAAGGCTTTGAAGGCTTTAATAATATGGAAACTGTCTCACCTCTCTGTGGCCATCTCCACCATCCCAGGAGCTGCCTGAAATCCCGAGAGTGTTTATTCTCCTAGCCTGTATTCATAGGGAAATCCTTCATTTCCAAGCTGGGGTAGATAATTCATCAGCTCGAGACAGATAAGCATTATTTCCATCTGTTCAGTGAGATGTAATTAGCTGGTATGATTAGACTTTATCAGGCTGCAATTCTGCACAACTCCAACACTGCACAGCCTCTGATGGGAGAGACGTCTGTGCTGGGTGCGTCGGAGCCCCAGCACGTGGGACAGGCATGGGACAGGGTGTGACAAAGCCATTTGAGCATCACTTGTGCTGCTGGAACCGGTGCTTTGCTTTCCTGAATCCAGAGGCTTTAGCTGGAGCCTTTGCAGAGGGATATGGGGAAGCAAAGCAGGGAGCTGGGAGCTGAGCCTGAAAAGTGGGATGGATTTAAAGCCATCCCCGGGAAGGATGGAGCCAGGAGGGAAGGCAGGAGGGCAGTGGGGGGCTGTGACTGCACCCCTTGTGCTCAGCAGGATGGGCTCAGTGCCTGAGCTGGGTTCCCAGAAATTGCAGCTGGAGAGGAAAGACAAACCATCCCCATCCCCATCCCCATCCCCATCCCCATCCTCCTCAGGCACCCACTGGAGTGATGGGGATGAAGGAAACCCAAACCAGGACCACGGTGGGGACAATGCCCTGTGCACGTGGCCACGTGGGAATAAACCAAAATGTGCTCAGCTGCTGAGTTTTGAGCTTCCAAATGTCTCCAGTCACAATAAAACCCTTCAAACACCTTCTTTACTTTCCTGTCCCGAGCTTTAGCAGCTGAGCCTGTCCCTGCCACCAGCCAGGCTGTGCCAAAAGCTCCCTGCTGTGTCACCACGTGGCACTGCCTGACGGTGCCAGGACATCGTGCCCATCCTCAGGTGGTTTTTGGAGCCCCAAAAGCAGCCTGTCTGTGTGACAGACTCCAGGCTCTGTTGACACACTATTTCTGTGTGCCACAAACATCCCCTTCCTGTTAGCAAATACAATATCAATGCTGTCTATTTTTTACCTCTTCATTCAGGTCTTAATTTTTTATTTAAGAAACACACCAGTGGGTAAAAGAGGCAGTGATGGCTCAGTGCTCCAGTGCTTGTGTGGATTAATTTTTCAAAAATAAGGCTTTTAAACCACTTACTTGGTTTATTTAGCAGGACTGTGTGTTCACTGCCTAAATCGTATTCCATACATTGCTTTTTTGGAAGGGATGAAGCTTGGTTTCTAATAATGAAGTTATTTACATGGATAGATGTTCCCATTTATTTTCAATTTGAAGGGGGTGGATGCATTTTCTTCGCCTCTTAAATACCATCACCCCACTAAGACAGAATTTCAAATTAATTCACAGCGAGACTCCTCAGGGATCAGCACTGGGGAAAGTGTTTAAAAGCCTCAAGTGGAAAGATTTTCTATTGGAAATGAGATTTTGCTGCAGATAAATTTCCCACGAGAATCCCTTGATATCAGCAGCATTTTGGCCAGGCAAACAAACTGCAAACAAGCCCCATGGTAAGGGTAAAACCTTCATATGAGGACATCTCGGGGGGAAAAAGTAAAATATTCCAGCTTTGGAATGCTTTTCCCATTGAAATGAGTCGGAGGAGTGAGAACAGTGTTAGGATGGAAAAGGCTGATGCAGCGTGGGCATCCCTGGGGGAAGAGGGTGCTGGGACAAATGCAGGTGGCATCTGGGTGCCACTTGATGTCCTGATGTTTTTTGGCCACCTGGGGAGTGGCAAGGGCGTACCCGCATCCCTCCCTGCGTCCCTGCCCGAAAAGGAGAATTCTTGGCTCAAGGATGGCATCCCCCTGGCACGGCGAGCGGGCAGGACCCGCTGGTGTCCCGGGGGTGGTGGCACCGCTGCAGGGCAGGGCTGGGCAGGGCTGGCGGTGGCCGCGGGCGAGGAGGGGTGTGCGCATCCTGCCGCCCCCTGCCCAGCCCCGCGGCGGCCAAGGGCAGCTATTTCAGGAGGATAAACAGGATGCCTTCGCTCCCAGCCCGGCCACTTCCAAGCCTCCCTCCCACCGCTCCCGGCTAAACAAGTCCAGCCCAGGAAAAGCCTCCTGGAGCTGTTTCCACGCTGGCTGCCCCACACCGAGCCAAGCAGCTGAGCCCGGCCCAGCCCCAGCTTCCAGAGGTCTGGAAGCATCTCCAGGGATCCAGAGCGATCCCAAAGCGTGCATCCACCTCGGCGGCGACTCCCAGGAGCTGGGAACAGCTTCAACTTTCTGGTCACGCCACCACTGCTCCTTCCTCCTTCCTCCTCCTCCTCCTCGTCCTCTTCCTCGCTCGGTCACACCCCGAGCTGCTGGCGGTGCCCAGGCTCTGGGAATGACGGCGGCGAGCCCTTTGGTCGCCGCGGATCGTGCCCAGGCAGCGCCGCGGGATCCGCCGGGGCTGTTTCCGCCTGTTGCGCTTGAGGAAGGAGCCGCAGCAGCAGCGAGAGGAAGGAGGAGCTTTTTTCCACCGCTTCCTCCAGCTCCTCCGACTCCAGCTGCTTCCTCCCCGGCTGTGTCCGAGGAGACTTCGCAGGATCGCCGGCACATTCCCGGTTTTCGTGTCCCCACCCTGAGTGTCCCCTTCTGCTCCCTGGCTCAGCCAGGAGACGCCAGCCCCCATCCCGGGACAGCTCCTGGTCCAAAACCTGTGCCCGGGGCGGGTTTTAAATCAACTCCAGCGTTCCCATCCCTTGTCCCACGGCTGGGGAGGGCGAGGGGCCCCTTGCCGTGCCCGCTGCTCCCACGCCCGCTCTCCAGCTTGGCACCAAGGTCAAGGCCGGCGGTTGCGGGGTGTGGGCACAGGTAGGACGGAGCCCGGGTGTGGCAATGCCGGGCTGGAGCAGCGCGGTGCCAGCACGGAGCCGGTTTTCCCGGTGGGAGTGCGGGAGGACACCGGGCACTGCCCAGCTCCCGCCTGGGGGGCACGGCCCCCTCCTCCGCCCTGCCCATCCCCCCGCCGGCAATTAGCGCTGCTAATTACCCGGCGGGGGGACACTCGCAGCCTTTCCCCGAGGCCGGGGGCGGCGGGCGGGACGCGGGGCGGTGCGGGAGGAGTGGCCGGGGGGAGCCGTGGGGCGCCGCGCTGCCGGGCCGCCCCGAGCGCTGCCTTCCTCCTCCTTCTCCTCCTCCTCCTCCTCCTTCTCCCTCTTCCCTCCTCCTCCTGCCGCTCCTCCCGCCGCCCGGCCCGGCCCGGCTCCGCTCGCCATGGGAGATGTGGTCTCCACGCACCTGGACGAGGGTCGCCGCCAGCACATCGCGGGTGAGCCCCCGGCGCGCCCCCCGCTCCGCTCATCCCCACCGGGATCTCCCCATCCCTCCTCCCTCCTTTAATCCCTTTGGGAACCCCCCGCTCAGTCTTCCGAGACCCCCACGCCTGCTCTTCGCCTCTCTCTGGCGCTTTAAACTTTTTAATTTTTAGTTTCCCCGTGGTTTTGCCTCGGCACAGCTCGGGGGGGTACCCGAGGTGGCTGTGTGCCTCCCAAATGAAAGGCTGGGTTGTGCCGGGGGTGTTTGTGTTGGCGGCGGGGCTCGGGGACCCCTCGTGCTGAGGGGAGGGGAGAGGGGATTTGGGCTCGGGGGGATGCTGGAAGCCGGGTCCCGCGCAGGGACAGCGCTGTCAGCACGGGGGCTGCTGCGGCTGGCTGGCAGATGAGCCTCATCCCCCTCCCTTCACAGTGCTGGGAGATCCTTCGGGAACCCCCCCTCAAAGATTCTGGGGAGGAGGGAAGGGCTGGCCGCAGCCCTGGCTGCCTCCAGGCAGGACACAGCAGTGTCCCAGGCAGCGCCGTGGGACGGGCAGGGGTGACAATGTGGTCATTGAGAGCCCGTCTGTCGGGGCGGCAGCGCCTCGCCCCTGGCACAGGATGTCTGGCCAGAGCTGCTGGGAGCCGCGGGGTTACGGCTCTGCACGGATCGTGGGAAGCCGTGGCTGGGGGGCTCAGGGCTGCTAATTGGGGTCTGCGGTGACACGCCTGACCCCTGGCAGTGGGGTCACCCCTCTGTCACGGTGCTGGGCTCCCCCAAGGCGCTTTGCGTCACTCGTGATGCGTCACTCTTGGCTCCCCGGGGCTTCTGAGCGGGCAGGACATGACCTCCGAGCCCTTTCGTGCCCCAGCTTTGGTTTCAGCTCCCCAGGCTGGCAAAACCTCGTCTCCAGTGGGTGAAGCCACACCACGCACCTGGGCGGGTGTCACAGCCCAGGGTGGCTTCGTCCTGGACCTTGTGCATCTCGCCGGCAGCTCAAGGGCTGGGGAGTGCCGATGTTTTGGAGGTGACTCCGCCGTATCACTCCTCTGGGGCGGCCATAAAGCCACGGGAGTGGCTCTGAAGTCCTTTTGTCCCCAAGGGCTCTGGGGGAAACGCTGCTGCCGGCAGAGCAGCGCTGGAGCTGCCGTGGGGCTGGCACAGGACTCGGTGTCTCGCCGTGCAGCCCATCCGCCCTGCCAGGCCCCATCCTGGCAGGAATGCTTACGTGGTATGCGGCTCAGCAGGACGCCAGCAGGTTTCTGAGCTTTGAAGGAGAGCTTGGAACTCGCTCTGGGGTTTTCATCTTGCATTAGTTAAAGCTCAGCCCGGCTGATCCGCGAGGCTGCACCGGGTCGGGGCTGCCTGTGGCGTGTTTGGATCCAAAGCACATGCCGAATTTCTCTGTGACTTGCCGGTTGTCTGTGCAGAGATGGCTCCCTGTGCAAGCCCCTGTGATCCTAATCCTGAAGAATAACAAGGAGAAGCCTGGCTGGGTTTCCTGTGCAGGAATCTGTCTCTGCTGGGTCAGGGATTGGGTGTTTGCAAGGCCAGGCTGGATGGTTGCACCCTGGCAGGGACTGAGCTGTTACCCCAGCGTGGGATTTAATCCATGACTGGGGACTGCAGAGGGCTTTTCATGAGAAAAAGTTTTCATGGGAAAAAGATTTCATGAGGAAAAACAGATTCCTGTGGAATAGGATTATGGAGACTGGGCTAGGACATGTCCTGTGCCATGCCGGGGTGAGTAGGGGGACACACACCTGTACTGGGACACCTCCCTGGGAGAGACTGGGACAAACTGGGTTCCTGGAGCACCTCTCTGCTCCTGCCAGGGCTCCTGGCTGGCTGAGGAGCCCTCGGAGCTGGGAGGGGCTGGAACCCAGCAGGCAAGGCACGACTTGCTGTCAGGCATGCAAAGCAACGTGGCGGGGAAAACTCCGGGTTTTCCTGCCTAGCTCGGCCTGTTCTCTGCTGCTGCTGCCCCAGGAGGGATCCAGTCCTTCTCCAAGCAGCTTTTCCCAGTTGTCCTCTCAGATTTGGGGGGTTTGGATTTGCTGCCCAGGCCACCATGACCCCTGGTTGCTGGAGGGACAGGAGCTCTTTGGGCTTGGCAGAGCTGTCCGAGGTTGCAGCTCCTAGACCAGCTGAGCTGCTGGGGAGAGCCTGGCCCAGACTTGGGCCCCTCCTGGGATTGGGATAAAGGCAGGAGAGAGCTGGGAAATGCCCACAGTGCCCAGGCTGTGCAGGTCCCATGCCCTGTCCCAGCCCATTCGATGGTGGCTGTGTGAGGCTCATGCCAATGTCCCCCAGAAGTCACGAGCCACACACGTTGGCCTGGCTGGCTCAGGGTCTTTCCTCCCACTGGTGGGGCTGGAAGGCTCCAGGCAGTCCCAGAGCAGCTCCCTGCCAGCACTGGGGATGCTGGGGCTGTCAGGGCAGCCAGGTGTGATCCACAGCTGCTGGCAGAGCTGCCTGCAGCTCCTGCATTCTGTTCTCCAGGGTCTCTCTGACACTGCCACCTCCTCCTGCCACAGTGGTTTGGACATCTTCCTGCCTGAGTCATTCAGTTTGTTTGTCAACACCCTTCAGCTGCCCTCCTCCTCCTCCTCCTGCTCTTCCTCCCAGATGTGGGTTGGGAGTTTCTTCCAAGCTGCTCTGTGGGCTGGAGCAGGGACTGGCTCATCCTCCTTGTGCAAGGAGGGGGTGTGTGGGCACCGTCACCTGGACACACGAGGGTGGCAGGGATGGGGTGTCCAGGTGTGCAGGATGTCACTGGGTGCCTGGAGTTTTGCACAGTGTCCTCTCATATCCAGGGCAATGGGTGCTCTCAGCATGGGAGTGGATGAAGCTCTTCCCTCATGCTGGAATCGCTCCTTCCCTGGAGCATCCCATGCACCCTTTCTCCTGGGGGCTGAGGTGAAGCGTGGCTGGCAGCAGGAGCTGGCTGGCTCTGGATGGAGCTGCTGGTCCTGAGCCCAGGGATGCAGCAGGAGCTCCTGGGTGCCATCCCGGATGAGTGGCAGAGCCCAGGGATGCAGCAGGAGCCGTCGGATGTCTCCAGAGGGATGTGGGGGTGGCTGGCAGCACAGGGAGGGTCCCTGGGAGCTCACACCTTGCTCTGGCATCTCCGGGGAGTCGCCAGCCCGTTAATTACGGAGTGAAGCAGCTGCTAATTTCGGGGTAGGACTTCCACAGGCACCAGCCCACGAGGAGGTGGCAGAGGTGACACCGAGCCTCTTCCCTGGGACCGGACCTGCAGCCTCCTGCTCCAACGAGCCTTGTCGGGCATCGGTGTCTGGATCCCTGATCTGGGATGGGATGGCATGGCATGGCATGGCATGGGATGCAGGGCCGGCTCCAGAGGTGCCTGGCAAACGCCGGAAGGCACCAGGCTGTGGTGTGCCGCAGGGATCGAGGCTGCTGGCAGCAGCAGGAGGTTCTCTGTGGCTTCCCTAAGCGTGACACTCATTTCCCAGCCTCTGCCACAGCTCAGCTCCCGCCGGGGTGGGAGGTGGAGGCTGCCGGGCTCTGGGGTTGGTCTGGAGGCTGAAACCCTCACCCTGCCCCGGGGGAAGCCGTGCAGGGAGGCTCCGAGGGCTCGGGGTGGTTTCTCCCAACGAAATGCGTGTCTTTCATCGCCAAATAAATAACTCCCCTGGCATGTCAGGGCTCCCTGCCAGCGGCGAGGGCTGGTTCTGGCAAGCTGGGGCTTTACCTGCAGCCGTCGTGTCGGGGCACGGGGCTCACTCCGAGCCAGCGTGTTGGGGCAGGGGACACGGCTCTGGTGGCCTTCCCACGTGGGCCGGCCATGGGAGCCCGCCTGGCCGTGCTCAGCCCCGGGGCAGAGCTGCCTTCCCTCGGGGAGGGCTTTCCCTGCCTCCCCCAGGCAGGCTTTAGCCAGAGGCCCCGGCTGGAGCGAGCTGGGGCACGCAGGGAGGGGATCCCTGCTCTGGAACAGGAGGAACAGAGCCAGGACGGCTGCTCAGAGCTCTCCTTGGGCCAGCCCAGGGAGAGAAAAGCACCCGCAGACCAGGACACCTCCATAGCAGTATCAGACACCCCAAAACCCATTGCAGGGACACAGCCAGAGCTGGGATTTCCTGGCTCAGAGCTCAGAGGGGCTCGGTGCCTCTTGGCACAGCCTCTGTCAGCTCCAGCTCACCCTCCCGGGACTGACAGGCTCCTGTGTCTCCGAGCTTCCAGCAGGGCTGGAGGGATCCAGGGATATTTATCCATGGGCTAAGTGAAGGTGTGAAGGCAGGTGAGGACCAGGACTTGCTCTGCCCCTGCAGGACCCAGCTCTGCTCCCACCACCCAGTTTGTGGGGGATGTCACCTCATCCTGGAGCTGCAGCCCCCAGAGCCCATCTGGTGAGGTCCCCAGGCAGGAGCTGTGCCTCCTCCCCAGCCCCTGGCTGGCTTGGGAGCCTTGTCCCAGCCTGGACGTGCCTGCAGTGGCCCCATGGAGAGGAGGGGAGGAAGGGGCAGAGCAGAGCAGCTCGTTGCTTCCTCCCAGTCTCTTGGACCGGCGGGGGAGGAAGGAATAAAACTCCACCTTTTCCCCCTTTTCAAAGGGAAAGAGCAGTGACATTTGACACAGCTCTGGTAGAGCACAGTGCCCTTCTCTGTGCCTTCCTGCCCTTTGCCATGCCCTTCTTCCCTTCTCTGTCTCCTTCTGCCCTTCCCTGGCAGGGATCTCTCTTGGGAACCCGGACCCCTTCACTAGGGGAGTCCCCAGATGGGACATTCCCACACAGCAGGATGGATGGGACACTGCCCTGGAGGGCCTGGGGCAGGATCTCACCCATCTCCCGCTGTGCTGGTGGCCTCTGGGGCACAGGACACTTGTCCTGGCTTCCTTTCTCCTTCTGCCAGCTCTGCTCAGCCCCTTGAGAGATTTGCCTGCATGAAGGGATGTGCCCAAAGCTGGGGTGAGCCAGCTCCCAGACCCCAAAATTGTGGTGGCTCAACATCCTATGGCATGGGTACGGAGCTGGACACAGGAGCCTCCCCA